TCTTCTCCGTCTCACCTCGCCCCTTACTGTGTTCTCCACGTCCCCCCACCCCCAGCAACACGTGCAGGACGGTCGGAAGGAAAACCTTGAAGGGTTCGTGAAGACCTTTGAAAAAGAGCACCCGGAAGACACTCACCCGGGGGTCTACGCTCTCGACTGTGAGATGGTGAGTCCCTGTGGTCTCAGAGCTCCCCCTGGCAATCCAGGGAGGGCTTGGCCTCGGGAGCCCCTCCTTGGGCCCCAGCCTGCCAGTCCCGCGTCCCCTGGTAAGTGACAAGACAAGCAAATTAAGTGCCTGTGGCCCCCATGGGTTGGAGGCATCTTGCTGCTCTGCGGGGCTGCCACAGCAATTCCACCTGAGGCTGGAGCCACTGCAGGTTTTAGGATAAAGAGCAGATGAAGAGCTGTGAACGAGAGGCCAGTGTTTGCCCTCTTTGTGGGGGGACGTGTGTAGTTCAGCCCCGAGCCTGTTACACAGCACGACCAGTGTCTGCCCTCTTTGTGGGGGGACGTGTGTAGTTCAGCCCCGAGCCTGTTACACAGCACGGCCAGTGTCTGCCCTCTTCGTGGGGCGATGTGTGTAGTTCAGCCCTGAGCCTGTTACACAGCACGGCCAGTGTCTGCCCTCTTCACGGGGGGATGTGTGTAGTTCAGCCCCGAGCCTGTTACACAGCACGGCCGGTGTCTGCCCGGAAAGGCTGTTTTCCGGCTGGTGAGCAGGTGCTTCTCTGTTGGTGTAGGGTTTTGCTTCTCTAACAAATGCCACGCACAGTTTACAGACCGAGAGCAGGTTAGCAGAACCTGCGTGTCCAGCAGGGCCCCTTCGCACTCGGGGGCGGTGGGGTGCAGGGAGAGGAACACTGCCTCCGGGGAGGACGTCCCTGGGGTCCAACCCCACCCTGCACCTCCTAAGAAGCCCCCGCAGGGCTTTTGGCAGCATTAGCGGCTTTGTCGTGAACCGAAACTCGGGGCGTTGTGGGTGTGTGGTGCTAGTGAGGGGCGGAAGGTCCATTCCCAAGGGAGGCCCTCCTGCAAGCTCAAGGGCGGGCACACGGTCAGTTCTCAGGAGCTGGCAGGGGACGGCCAGCCCAGCACGGCTGAGGTCGGCTCCCCCCGGCTGCCCCGAGCGGCGGGACCTGACCTGCTTCCATCCCTCTTGTGGCCGGCCGCAGTCCTACACCACGTATGGCCTGGAACTGACGCGCGTCACGGTGGTGGACACGGACATGCAGGTGGTCTACGACACCTTCGTCAAACCCGACAACGAGATCGTCGACTACAACACCAGGTGCGCTGGCCCCCCGCTCCCCCAGACCCCCCGCCCCCCGCCCCGCCGGCCCTGCCTTCCCACGCCGGGCCCACCCCACGGCTCCTGCACTGGGGCTCCCGCGTGGGGCCCTGCCATGATCCCACAGGCTCCAGCCCCACGTGCCGCTCCCCTCCAGGTTCTCCGGGGTGACCGAGGCCGACCTGGCCGACACGAGCATCACGCTGCGGGACGTGCAGGCCGTCCTGCTCAGCATGCTCAGTGCCGACACCATCCTCATCGGGCACAGCCTGGAGAGCGACCTGCTGGCCCTGAAGGTAAGGGGAGGGGGCGGGGCGGACGGGGAGCAGTAGCTGCAGCCTCAGGGATCCTGCGGGCACACTGCGTCCTCTCCTGGTCAGGCTGTGTCCCCCGGCCTCACCGCGGTGTGTCCCTCCTGGGCCCCACACCTGGGCCCCACACCTGGGCCCCACAGAGCCGCTGTGGGATCTGGGAGGGGGAGGGGCCAGGCCGTGCCACCATCCGGACAGCCTGCCCCCCGCCTGCCCGCCCGCAGATCATCCACAGCACGGTGGTGGACACGGCCGTGCTGTTCCCGCACCGCCTGGGCCTCCCCTACAAGCGTTCCCTGCGGAACCTCATGGCTGACTACCTCAGACAGATCATCCAGGATAACGGTGAGCGCCCACCTGCCGCGTCTGCCCCACTCGGCTGGCCTCGCCCACCCCACCCTGTCCCACTCCGCCCTTTTGCCTCACTCCACCCTGCTCGTCCTGCCCCGTCCCACCCTGCCCCACCTCACCCAGCTCGCTTCGCCTCTTCTGCCCATTGGGGGCCTCAGGAGCCCTGGCGGCCAGTGACACCCCCCCACCCCCGTGTCCCTGCAGTGGACGGGCACAGCTCCAGCGAAGACGCCAGTGCCTGCATGCACCTGATGATCTGGAAGATCCGAGAAGACGCCAAGACCAAGCGATGATCC